CACTCTGCACACACCATAGTCACGGCGAATTCTGTCTATGTGTCAAGGTTAAGAGTTCTGTGGCATCAACATTTATCCTCAGATTCTACCCCACCTATTCCTACTCCATTCATCATAAAGCACTTCCTAGTTGATTTCTACAGCTGCTATGCATCACACTTTAAGCCATTGTGGAGGTGACAGAACAGAAATTCTTGAAGGCAAAATGATCGAATGTCTTCTCTGAAGACCTGGAAATCCTCATGGCTAGCTTTGTCTCTGAGAGGAAGCTCCTCCTTCCACAACTTCCCTGTGAGGACACTGGAGACTGTCCTAGTTTAAATGCTGTCCCCACTCATGGATAAAGGAGAGGGTGGAGTTTCACAGCCTCTGTCCTGGCAGGTGGCTGATCGGGCCTTGGCTGAGCTTGTGGGTGTAGAGCTCTGCCAGATTATGTCCTTCAGAAAGTCAATTGAAGTGGTGCTGTTTCTGGCAGCTCTTGGGGATGTCTTGTGTGAACAGACTCTTGAGATGCTGATGGAATAAGATGGATGGAGTTCTCCCTTCCTGTGGTGTCTGATTAAATTGCCTCAGTTCCTTTGTGTAAGCTGTACTAAGATATCAAATTATCTAAGATGGGATAGAAAGAAAGATTCACAGTTGGAAGTCAGTGGAAGACTGGCTATTAGGCTTTGGAGAGAATGTCCAAAAAACTTCTTAAGCTATTCAAGATGTGATTTGTTTTTTACAGTTGGCAAGGACACATCAAACTATTTTAATCCAGATTAATCCCACAACACTGTACCTGGAACCACAAATGGTCTCCACTGCCCATGTAGGTCCTGTGTGTGTCTTACATGTCTGGGTCATTCATTTGGGATAAAGTATAATTCTCCCCTTCACCATGCTTGTCACAATCATCATCTGTGGATTACTGTCCTCAGAGAGACATGAAGTAGTTCTGCTCACTGCTTATGAATTTGGCAGCTTCCCTGGGCATACTCTATCACTGTGTCAGGATGTGTCCTGTGAGAAGTGGGTGAGTGGCCTTGCTCTCCTGAGCCAATGTGCACGTGTCCTGTCAGGAGTGAGTGGACTTGCTCTTCTGAGCCAATGTGGATGTGTCCTCTGAGGAGTGAGTGGCCTTGCTCTCCTGAGCCACCCTATGGACAGAACTACTGTGAGACAGCAACATGTGCCCAATGTGTAGAATGCTCCCCAGTCAATTTGCATTTGTTCTCACTTTCAAAATAGAACTGCTTTCCAGTGGTGGCTTCAATCTGACAAAGCAAACAGTGCTTGCTATTGCTTAAATACACACTTATGCCAATTAGATGTATAGTGTCATGTACACAAACTCTCACAAAGGCAGAAAATTTAGGAATGTCACATGCCTTATATTTGATACATACTTAGAGTTTGAATGCATCCTTTCATCAGCTAAAATTCTTCAAATTGTTTCCATGGTGTGGTCTAATGTTTAGGTGATTGCTAACTGAGGCCAAACCAGTTCAGGGAAGAGTGCCTGGAGCTCAAAACAGAAATCTTAGGGACCATATATTTAAAAACAAAGGCAAAAATTGGCACTTAACCCTGACAGCCACAGATTCTCAAAGAACCATTTACAAGAATCTAAGCAAGAAAATTGGAGGGGAAATGAGAAGAGTCAGTGTAAAAAGCTCAGTTGGGTAGATTACACCAGTGTGATAAAACTGTCCAAATTTGCCAGGATACTCTTATTCTTCTCACCATGATTACATGGACATACATATGTGTGAGCACAAGCACAGTAAAAATCCACTTGATGTCTTTGATCCTCCTGTTGTCTGTGCTGGAATCTATATCCTAGAGCTTATTTCAGATCAGGGTGAGTGTGCAGGATCTGCCTACAGACAGACTCCTCCGTATGGACATGAGTGAGCACAAAGAACACGGAGGCTGCCTGGGAGACTACCAGGAGTCTTTGTCTCTTCACAATGCAATACTCACTGGTCACAGTGATATGATGATCGAGGATGTGGCAAGCATAGGAGGATCCACAATGTTTTTAATGATTTAATGTAGGAAACTTAGGAGCCTCTTACTCATAATGATGAAATGACAACACACAAACTGTATACAAATCAGCATGAGGGCTGGGCAGTGGGAATTTGGTGCTTAGTTCAGGGATGTTTTCACTCCAACAACAACCCACTTCCCACATGTATACACATGTTTGGTATAAGTCTAAAGATCATGTATTTGAAGCAATGCATGCACTAATAAATTGATTGATCACCTATCAAAGTCTATTTTGAGTCCGACATAATTAAATCACAAGTACAGGATTTACCTATATTGATTCTGTATGGGTTAGTAGATTCACACTGAATCAGAGTGTGCATTGCTCTATTAAGATATTACCAGAGGAGGGCACTGAGGCTCCAAGAGGAAGTAAACCTGCACAGATTTCAGAAAACCAGACCAGAACCTCTGCTCTCCACACACTTTATTAACACAGTGAATATATGGCTCGTTATCT